ATTTCTTTTGCATTTCATGCTCACGTAACATTAGACAGCAGCATCAGCAATCAGAAGGCAATGGGTCAGTGTCTTCAAAATTCTGAAGGAGTGTGGTTTGCAACCTGGAACTTTGTGCCCTGTTTGGTTCTCCAGCCGCTGGGTACGTGGGTGAACGAATAAACAGGTGGATGCGTGAGTGGTTAGAGCCTGCCAGTTTCCAGTTTTTCCTGGAAGTCTTGGGGAAGCAAGAGTGACAGTCTTGATGCCTGAGCCTCGGGAAGGTCCCTGCACCGGAGGTAGGTGAGGGGTGCTGTGGGAGAGGACAGGCAGACCCCGGGGGGGTGGCCGAGGACCACAGAAGAGGCCTGAGGGGCAGGCACAGGAACCAAACAGCCCTCCGCTTTCCCAGCCTGGTTTGGAGGAGTGTGACTCACAGGCAAGCGGGCCACAGACCCGATTTCACAGTCCCTCTCTGGCTCAGTTAAATTGGCTGCCAAGCAGGAATAATAATGATATCTATTCTTATAGTGAGAATTAAATGAGTTTACTGGCCTCCTGGCATATGATTAGCACTCCATAAATATTAGCTATTAATGTTAGTGGTTAATCTCTTAGAACCACTTTTTTTTCTTTTCTTAACATGGGCTCCCAGCAGGAGCTGGAGGCGAGGCCTGGGGGCGGCAGCCCGGGGCAGGCTGGTCATGCTCCCCTTCGCTGCCCCTGGTAGCCCCGTCTCCCTCCTGCTTTCTCTTCTCCTCTCCTGCTTTTCACATTTCAGAGGAACAGGAAGTGAAAGCAATACGAGTAGAAGAAGAAAAGGACCTTTTCCTGTAAATTAGGGATGTCTCCTGATGCACTGGGACTTGATCTTGGATGTGGGCTCCGTGAGGGCAGCTGACAGGACTTGCGGTGTGTTCTGTGTAGAATTCCCTGGACAATAAGTTCGGAGATGAGGATCAGCCCTTGTAAGGTCCTGGTCCTGGCGGGCCTCTCGCTGCAGCCCCAGACCGCTGGCTCCTGGACACCCCACCAGTGCGGGAGCTCCTTGGCTGTGGGAAGGCTTTTGGAGGGGTGGGGGGCACTGGGGGAGGCAAGCTAGGGCGGAGGAGTCCGGGCAGCCTGAGCTGGCTCTGATATGTGACATCCCCTGGGCACTAGGCTCTAGAAGCTAATTCCTTTGGGGCGTGCTTGAAGCAGACCTGGGCTTCCCATTCACACTAGGTAGGACTCTGGGGTTAACGGGGCCAATCATAATCCTCACCACCACACAGAGCTGTTAATTTAGCAGCTACAGTGAACCAAGAGCCACACCAGGCCTTTCATGTACCTTACCTGATTCCAGAATGAGAAATTCCACTGTATTTGTCATTTATCCCATTTTGCAGATGAGGAAACTGAGACTCAAAGAGGTTCAATTTTGTCCAGGGTCACAAGGTGGCAGGGCCAGTGCTGACCACAGTCCGTCCGACTTGAAGATTCATATGAGATGTGAGGATTTTAATTGACAGGTTGATGTATAATGAATAATTGGAAATCAGCCTTGATTTCCAACAACAGGGTATTGATTACATAACGTGTGATACTTCTATGCAACAGAGTATCCTGCGATTCAGAATAATGTTGCAGCGTTATCAGTGTGGGAGTGTTTGCACGGAATATTCTTAAGGAGCAGTAGTGTGTATACAGTAGTGTGATGCCATGTTTGTAAGATAAAACAAGTGTTTTAAGACCTTACAAATATTGTTAGGAAAAAAGTCACATATCCATAGAAAAATGTCTAGAAGGAGACATGACAAAATGTTACTTTTGGACCTTAATGACATTATGGGTGATTTTTACTCCCTTCTTCATTGTTCACTTGTATTTTCTAACTTTCCAACAACACCATGAATTACTCATTTGGACGAGACAGAGGAAAGGGGGCTACTGGCCTGGAAATAAGGAAATTCTGGGTTTCTGGGCTAGCGCTGCCTCTGATTGTGGCTGGGCAAGGCCTTTTCCTTCTGTAACGTGAGTGATTGCTTGGTAGACAGGAAGGCCCATGTGAACAGTGGCCATGTCTATTTCATTCAAGATAATATAGGCTGCACTCAGTGAATAGTGAATCAACAAGTGAAGGAATGAATGAGATGAGGTTCAAGCATCAGGGCTGTGAGGTGTGGGAGAGTCTCAGAGACATGTCATGCAGCAGGGGACAAATGTGCTGCAGCAGCGGAAACCCGGAGGTGTGCGACCTCTGCAGGCATCATGAAATGACCCCAGGACTGGCTGTTACATTCAGGTCTCCAGCCCAGGAGTCTGGTTCAGGGATCTGGGCTTTTAGGGTCGAACAGAACTGGGGTCCAGTCCCAGTGCTGTTCTTTGCCAGCTGTGCGATCTTGAGCAAACTATATATTTTGCTTAAGCTTGTTTCCTCATCTATAAAGTGAGGGTAATAATACTTAGCTCATAGGGTTGCTCTGAGCATTTGAACAATCTGTTTAGAAATTAGTTCAAAAGGGTGGACTGAATTCCAGCCACGTTTTCCTATCCCAAAGCCTTAGAAACACCAGAAAAGATAAATACATATAATCCATTAATGTTCTGGCAAACAAGAGGGGGCAGCTTCAGGAGACCTGAAATTGTGTGGAATTCCTGAAGGAGGAAAGGTGGTGGAGTCAGAGGGAAGAAGGCACCACCTACACTGTGTGCGGGGGACCGGCTGTGAACGGTGGGCTTTGAAGGGTGTCAAGCTTGAGGACAGTGGGTGGGGCAGCGGTGCCAACGGGGAATGGGCCGGGGTGTCGCGGCAGGAGCAAGCAGGGGCCCCAGCTCCCTACTCCTCCCGCCCCCCTACCCCCAGCCGGCCCGCAGCAGAGTGAATGTGGGCACTTAGGCCGGAGGCAAGGTGACGCGGGAAGGGCGACACTGGACACTGGCACATCTTTCCCATTGCTTCTCACCCTCCGTCCTGCTGCCCAGTGACTGGAAGCATCACCCGTAGATCGGGGAGCTGGAATCCACGGCGAGCGCTCAGCCACGCGTCATGATGCTGAGGAAACCACTGCCAGAAAGAGGCCCAGAGCCCAGAGACAGAAACACCAACCCCTGGAGAAACGGAGCAGATGAAACGTGCAGAACAAGCTCGGACTTCCTCAGGCAGGCAGTGGAGGAGACGGTCGGAGATCTTAGAAATGAGAAAGAAGATTCTCAAAAGCATTCTCAACCAGTGCACTGTGAGCAGGGCGGACACAGCTGAGTGACAGCATAGGAGTGACCTGGGAACTCAAACTGAGTTCCTGCAGAACGCGCCGAGAGAGAGAGGAAGCATATAATAAAGGCTAGGCCGTAAGGAAGAAACAGATCCTACCGTTTGCAACAACATGGATGGAGCTGGAGGGTATGATGCTCAGTGAAATAAGCCAGGCGGAGAAAGACAAGCACTAAATGATTTCCCTCATTTGTGGAGTATAACAACGAAGCAAAACTGAAAGAACAAAACAGCAGCAGAATCACAGACTCCAAGAAGGGACTAGCGGTTACCAAAGGGGAGGGGTGGGGAGGGAGGGAGAAGGGGATTGTGGGGTATTGTGATTGGTGCACATGGTGTGTGGGGTGTCATGGGGAAGACAGTGTAGCACAGAGAGGACAAGTAGTGACTCTGTGGCATCTTAATACGCTGATGGACAGTGACTGCAATGGGGTATTGGGGGGGCTCAATAATATGGATGAACATAGTAACCACATTGTTTTTCTTGCAAAACCTTCATAAGATTGTAATATCAATGATACCATAATAAAAATAATAATAAAGGCTAGGATATGTGAAGAATAGGTTCAGAAATTCCAATAGCCATCAAATAGAAGTTCCAGAAAGAGGGAATAATATACATACTATATTGGTAAAAACGAAATCATTCAACAATGCAGTAGATTGGAGAGAATGTGGGGAAACAGTGCCTCCTGCTGCTGGTGGGAGCGCATACACTGGTCCGTCACAGTGAGCAGTTTGGCAACGTGTCAAGGGAAGTTATCCTCCAAATGTACTTGCAGACATGCAAATGCCGGTGGTCCAGGATATGCATCAGAGCATTGTTGGAAGAGCAAAGACTGGAAACCATACAAAATCCACGTCCGTCAACAGGCACTGGTTCAGCAACGTATGTGATGCTCTTCCAATGATCTACTGTGCAGCTGTAGAAAACAAGGAAGCCTTCTATGAACTTCATGTAGAAGTGTATATAAAGCTTGCCACAATAAAGTAAGAAAGCAAAACAAAGTGACGGGCATAATAATGGGACAGTTTTACTTACACCTCTGCTGTTAAACACATAGCCAGCAACTCTCTGACACTTCCCCATGGGGAAGTGAGGTCTGTTCGGCCGCAGCAATTCTACGTGATTTCTGAAGCTAGGTCATAGAAGGCCATGCGGCTTCTGCCTTCCTGACGCTTAGCATAGCTCCTGGGCACCCAGGGCGTCCATGCTGTCAGGAAGCCCAAGCCACCAGGAGAGACCACGGGTAGAATGTTTGGTCAGTGGTCTCCACTGAGCACAGGGCCAGGTGCACGAGCGAGGGAGCCTCCAGGCAATTCCAAGCCCAGCCCTTCGAGTCCTTCCAGTTCAGATCCCAGACATGGCTGGGGCAGAGGAGCGCCAACCCCCAGAACCCCCCCGAAACACTTCTTGCCCAGAACCTGAGGCCTCGTCTAATGGCGGTGTTTTATGCGGCCAAGTTTGGAGTGTTTTGTTATCCAGCAGCAGGTGCCAGGCATACTGCTTGCGTGCGGAGTGAGATTCACGAGCAGGGGTCTCTCTGGAGGGGCTCACGGGAAAGCGGCCTGAGTGGTTGGGGACAGGAGCTTTAACAGAGACACTCCTGTGACCAAAAAGGAAATAAGACGCCTAAGTACTGGACAGGGAGAGACAACTTCTTGTTGGCAGGTGGTACAGCCTTCGTGCCTAGGTACCCCAAGAGGTCATCTGGCAAGTGATTAAAATGAGGAGAAGTCAGCAGACCTCTAGGGCAACGACATCCTCAGGCTACAGGGGCCTTTCCCACACCCAGCAACAAGTTGAAAATGCACAACAGTAAGCCGCCATTAGTGGTTTATTTTCTCCTGCAAACTGCCCTTTAAGACTGGGCTCTCCAGAAAAGCCGTCTGTAATCCCCTGGCATCCAGAGCGGAGGGAGCAGGTGGGAGGCTCCGCCCAGGGGCCGTGCAGGGAGGCTGGGTGGGGAAGAAGGGTGTGGGTGGCAGGCGGGGCCTTCTCCCCTGAATCTGTCACCCCGGAAGAGACTGGTCAGGCAGGCCCCCAGTGAGAGGGCTGGGAGGTGACGCGGGATGGGAGGAGGTGCAGTGACGCCCCGGGGTGCAGCCCTCCGGCAGTGGGGCCTCCCCTGGCTGGTGCTCTCAGGAGCCTCGTGAGTGCCGGGCAGAGTCCGAGGCACAGAGGCCGTGTTCCGGCAGAAGGGTTAATGCCTGAGCTGGTGCTTCTTGGCCTCTGGCCCCCCAGAGCTCCCAGCAGGGAGGCGCAGCGACTCGGAGGCCGGGGCTCTCTGCCCCAGGAGTGTCAAGGAGCTCCGAGGGGACCCCCTGTGCAGTGAAGCAGGGACATCCGGCCCTAGACATTGAGCACTAGCAGAGCCAGGGCCCTCCCCCGGGCCGCTTGGCCCTCAGGAAAGGGCCGGCCCTAGGAACCTTGGGTCCCTCTTTGACACCAGCTCCTCGCCCCTGCGTCCCGGCCGTCTGTGCCATCCGTCTCCTGACGTTCGTTTTCCCATCCCCTTCTTATCAGCTCCACCATGAAGGACAGCAGCAAACAACCAATCATTTAAAACCCTGACCCCTGTCCCAGCGCCAGAGCCCCTGGGGATGGTGACCCCCGTGCCTCAGGACGGCCCACGCTCGGGCTGAGCTGTCAGCCTTCCCTGTGGTGGGTTCAGAGGCCAGCCTGGGACAGTCCTACCCAGTGAGGCTGGGAGAAGTCCTGTGGCAAGGCTTCCGAACATCTATCGGTTCTGGAAGGTTCTCCAGTCACAGACAGGACAGAAGCACTGACGTGGCCACACCGTGGGAGCACCCAAACGCACGGCGCTAAGTGTGAAGAGCTGGTTGGAAAGGCCACACATACGATTCCATTCCTGTGGAATGTCCAGAACTGGCAAAGCTGTAGAAGCAAAAAGCAGGTGGGCGGTTACTGGGGCTGCGGGGTGGTGGGGAGTGACTTAACCTCGTGGGGTGATGAAATGTTCTGTGACTAGGAGCTGGTGGTGGCTGCGTGGTGCTGTGACCTGGACGTTTGCTGACCCTGCCCACAGTGGGATTCAGCTGGAGAAAACATGCGTGCCTGGAGGGACAGTTAGAATAGGGGGTCAGCCAGTGCGACTCGAGCTCTGGTTACAGGTGGGGCTTGGCCCACAGCCTGGCTTCCTGGTCCCCATGGCAAGGCCACACTAAGAGGGGACATCAGGGTGATACAGCTCAAGGGCAAGGGCCATTGAGTTTGGCCAACCATTTCCATTTTCCCTGAGCCAGTCTCACCTAGAATGTCCTTGAAGCCCTGGGCTTGCCATGCAGTGGCCCCGTAGGGAAAGGACATGCTGGCCACGGGGCCCCGGCTCTTGGGGGCTGATCGTTCACTGTCGGCTCAGCACTGGTGTATGGCTGATGCATGCCACTGTGATTGGCCCACAGGACCTGTCCGCTGGGACTGGGCAACACTAGGGGGCCTCTGAGCCTGCCTGGCAGAGACCACCTGTGCACAGTGTGTCTGCCAGCTCCCAGAGGCCATCCCACTTCTTCAGCTCTCCTGGGCAGCGTCACCGTGGGCTCTGCAAGAGAGGCACGGCGGCCCTTGAAGTACCTGCTCAAACTGTCCCCCGTCTTTCCGAAGGAAAGCAGCTTCAGCCTGATGCTGCAAGAAGAGATTATTAGTGTGGCAGTGACTCAAACACTGAAGGGGAACTGCCATGAGCCTCACGACCAACTTCCCCTCCAGCCAGGCCTGTGGGTGACCTGGGCATTTGGGAAGGTGCAGGTCTGAGGCTCTGAGACACTGCCGAGGCTGTCGGCTTTCAAACTAGGGGTGCTCGGGGCTCCTCTTGGCGTTAGTCGTGCCCACGGCCCTGCAGGTGAGCTCTCCTCTCAACCTCTGCCCCTGCAGCCCCCGGGACTGGCCTTGCAGGCCCTCTGCACACCCTCCCCTCCCTGGAATCTCTCCCCACCACCGGTGCTAAGGCCCTGCCCTCCGGAGCTCCTGTTCTATTGCTAAGATGTGTCACATCACTGCCTTTGTGTGCACTTCCTTCCTTTCCTTCCTGAGTGGGCGGCAGTGGACACTGGGCCACACTCCTTCCTTCAGGACCCTGGCCCCTCTCCCACCATCCCACCTGCTGTCAGTGGACTCCAGCTTCCACTGCTGCCACTGCCTGCCTTAGCTCCTCCTCCTTCATTTATGCCCCCCCTGCCTCTCCCCTTCCATGCCCTCCCGCCCCAGGGTCCCATCCTCTCTCCATCTTCTCCACCCCAGCCCAAGCCCCTCTCTGTTCACTAGTACCTGGGCCCCTCCCATTTTGGCTCGTGCTGGTGCTGGGGCTCTGGGGCCCTGGCCCCCTCACCTCACGAGCCCCGTGTGCCTACACAGCGCAGGATGAAGCTGTGAACGCCGTCTGCCCCCGGGCTTTGGCATGGAGTGATGCTCTGGCAGGGCGGCTGAGCGAGGGGGCACCTGGGGTGGTGCTAGAGGCTCAGCGCCTGGTCCTCAGGGGCGACATCCGCAGCCCGGCTGGCTTGTCAGGCCAGACACTCTGGCGTTGGTGAGCTGACAGGATGCTGGGCCGCTGTTCGTAGACACTTGCCGGGCCGCAGCTGAGCTCCGCCAAGCTCTTCCCGTGCATCCCACCCACTCATCCATGCGTCTCTCCGTCCGTCCGTCCATATCCCACCCACCCACTCAGACCTCTCTTCCCCCACCTGTACCCCCACCCACCCCGTGAAGCAGTGAAGGTTACTACAGGGTTTCCAAACTCACTTGTCCCCAGGAGCAGGCGGGTGCCGTGGGTGGGGGGGGAGGCCAGGAAGAGGAGGGGACAGTGTGACCTTTGGTGCTGGAGGGGCGATAGGGATCGGCCAGGAGAGGGCGACTGGGGGCAAGTCGTATAAAGGGGTCAGCTCACCAGTCATTGCCGAGAGGACACGTGGGCCCGGTGGGGCCAATACCTGTTTTTTCTAGAGAATTCAGAAATAGGAGCTTTTATGTAAACCCAAACGATCGTTAAATGTGGACAACTAATCAAATTAGAAACAGTGGGCAGGCTCGAATTGTACGAGTCAAGCCAGACACGTATATACAGGGGCTGGAATCGGCTCCGGGCCGTTTGCAGCCTCCGGCGCGGCATCCAGAACACCGGCTGCGGGGCCTGCCCGGCCCCCGGCCATCGGGAGAGCGGGGAGAACCGCAGCCGGTCTGCACCCCCGTTTCCTCCTCTGTGGGGGTGGCTGGGACCTCCCTGCCCCTCAGCGTTAAGGTAACGCGTGGGGGGCCCCGCGCAGCCGCCTTCCCGGGGTGGGTGCCCAGGGGCTCTGCACGGCCGCAGGACCCCCCACCTCGGCGGCCCGCTCCGCGGGGGCGGGAGGGCAGGACGCCCCGGGGTGAGGCCTCCCCGAGGCGCTTCTGGCCAGGGCCGACCCCCCTCCCTCCTCCCGCCTGCCCCCCGCATCCGCCCCCGTCTTCTCTGGTCACCGCTGCGGACAGAGAAAAGGGGAAAAGGAATTTTTAAAAAGCAGAACCGAGGTGTGGGTTTTAACTTTTGTTTGCTTTTTAAGCCTGTTTCAAGTCCCCGTTTCCAGGGAAGGCGATGTGGGGTTCGGGGTGGGTGGGAGAGCTCGTCCTGGCGGGGGTGGAGTCCGGGGCCAGGGACCCCCGCCCGCAGAGGCCCGCGCTCCTCCCGGCGGCCCTCCCGGGGCGCTCGGGGGGCGGGGCTGCGGGGCCCTCGGCGCCCCCGGTGTCAGGGGCGGACCCCGGCTTCCGGCACTCACGGCCCCGCAGGCACGGCAGCTTCAGGGGCGGCGGCCGCCCCACCTTCTCGCAGAGGAGGGCCCCCCGCCCGCGTCCCTTCCTGCTCCCCGAGGTGTCGCCGCGGCCCCGCCCCTCGCCCTCCCAGCCGCGGTCTCCGTCCCCCCGCACGTGCTCCCGCACCCCCGGGGGTTCTACGCACACCCTTCTGCTTCAGCATCCCGTGTGGACCCAATTCTCTGGGTTTCCCGATTCAAAGAAAAAGAGGCGTGGGGCGGGCGGTCTGGGAAAGCTTCCGGTGGCCGGGGCTCACCGTCCCCGCAGACGACGCCTTTGGTTGCTGACTGGCCCAGGGACCGATGGCCCCGGCTGCGTCAGGGGTCACTTGTAAGTATACTGGGCCACCTTGAGCAAATTCCTTCACCTCTCTGAGCCTCCATTTAACCCACCTGCCAAATGGGTACAGTCATATTATCTTACAGAGTTGTGTGAAGAGCAAGAATATAATCCGGGTGCTGGGAATTCCTTGAGTCCGGGGACAATGCCGTTCATGGCTGGATCTTTGGATTCAGGTTCAGGTTAAGTGCTGAGTACGTTGAATTAAGTTGTTCGTAAGTGGTGTATGTATCTATCGATTAAGAATGTTTTTTGCTACAAGAAACAAAAAATTCTCTTTATAGACACCTGGTCATAGAACAAGTTTCTTCAGATCAGGTGACTGCTCGCACTGGCCCAGCAAGTCATGGAGTAAATGGAGCTTATCTGGGAGTCTCACTTGTTGCCTTGTGATCACAAAATAGCTATCGTGCCAGACATTTTATTTGTGTTCAAGTCAGCCTGAAGGAAGAAGGGTTGCACATTTCCCTTTAATCAAGAAAAGCAGAAACCTCCCCCAGCCCCAGAAAATTTTCACTGAAGTCTCATTTCCCGGAGCTCTGCCAAATGTCTGCTTGATTTCAGGGAAAGCTGGTAGGGTGTGTATTTAACCTTCCAGGGCTCTGTAAGGTGGGTGGCAAGGCCGAGGGGGACTATGGTGCAGCCATCTGCCGTCTGCCTCAGCTCCTGGACCGCCTGAGGGAATTGTGGGACAGAGGCATTTCGTGAGCTTCTCGGGACTGTGCCTCGGGAGCAAGCCAAATGTAGGATTCAGGACCTGGGCAGGAGGTTTGTTTTACTAGATGTGTGGCCATGAGCTCTCCCTTCCCCTATGGGCTTGGGCTTCCAGGTTCCTGCATGAGGTAGCTGGACAGGATGGTATCTGAGGGTCCCCCCACCGAGGGTGGTCTAGCTTCATGAAGTCCCTGTGTGAAGGCCAGAGAGGAGGAAGAATAGGATGGGAGGCAAAGACGTAGAAAACAATAAACGTGTATAAGCAAGTATTGATAGAGCTGCGCTGCTGGTGCGGGAGCTGAGATGCTTGTCTGGAGCGTCCCCTGCCCTGGGTTACCTGAGGCCGCGGTGAGAAAGCCGTGGACTCCCGTGTGCGGCCACTGCAGTCCGGCAGAAAGTATGGCCTGAATGGTTTTGATTATAATGTTTCTTAAATATATGCAAATATAAAACTAGACATAAACTTTGGATGCTGATAGCTTTTGTACAAGGAAACCAAAAGTAATTTAGAAATCATATATAAACAACACTATGAAACTAGTAAAATTGAAAACAACAGTAATTTAACATGAGGAATGATAATCTTCAAGTGAAAATAAATAACAACTTGCACTGTGACTGGAAGTTGCTCCTGAGGACATCTAAGAGCACACCTGTGCTCCAGAGGATGAAATCACTGAAAGTAAATCTTAAACCTCACCTAACAGTTTTGGTCCTCCAAGTAATATTAGAAATGTAATTTTGAAATTGTTTGATATAAGTTGTAGGAAAAAGTAAATAAGTACACTGATTGAAACCAAGATTTTCAGTTTAAGGGAAAAGAGATATGAATATAAAATCAAAGAAGTTAAGGGGAAGAAACCCCTGTAATATTGTATTTGAATTGAAAATATCAATAAAAATGTATGTTTTTTTAAAATGTGAATTCTTTAGCTCTGTATCCTTAAAGGGCACAGAAGCAATCATACCTCAGTGGTAATGAGAGCACCTAGCACCCAAATTTTGGTTTCTAACCCTTTTCCACGGAAAGAAATTAGAACTCTTGGAGAAATGGTTTATTCCAGGCGAGGACAGAGAAAATACAAGGTTTGCTTCAAATATCTATGCCAGAAAGAAAGAAAGATTTTTCCATAAAGAAAAGTTGGGGAAAAACCCTGTAAAACTAATAAAATTAAAATAACAACATGATGAGGGATATTGTTTTATTAAAAATAATTTTCTCACAGGGTGACCAGTCGGATATCAGCGCATGCTGCTGTTTTTCTTCAGGTGGGACATGCCTAGAGGACTTGGTTTCATGAGACAACTCAATTCTCCAACCACTTTCTCTGCCCAAACTATTGCCAACCTTTTTTTCAGGGTATTATGAGTTGTTTCTCTTGATGCCACTATTGACACACAAAATTGACTTGTTCTTTTACATTTACCATCAGATATTTTGGTGCCAAGTATGACCCTAAATGGAAACATAAACTCTACCTGAGGTGGCTGATAACAGTTATCAAGTGGCCATGCAGATCCAGGTGCCACTGCTGGGGGACTCTGCCCCCCTCTGTCAGCACATTGACTACAGCAATATGCAGCTTTAATACTCACTTTCCTGAATTCCTGGGTTGCTGAGCATGGCATGTGACCCAATTCTGTCCAATGGGATGAAAGCAAAAGTCATTCAGTGGGCGGGGCTTCTGGATAACCTTTGTACAAGGGATATACTTGGAGGGCATGTGCCTTCGGTCTTACTCCTTTCACTTCCCTTTTTCCCTGGTTAAAACTGGAGGTGCAGCAGCCATCTTGCAGCTGTGAGGACAAATGTCCCACAAACTATTGCTAGAGTAACTGAGTCAGAAGATGGAAAGAGCCTATGTCCTGACGACATCTTTGAACAGTTGCATCTTCTCTAGACTGTCTTTCTCCAGACTTCTTATTACATAGGGAAAACAAGCTCTTATGTGTTTAAATTGGTATTATTGAATTGACTTGCAAATAAATACATCCCTGAATGATTCATTCAGAAAATACTAATGTTAGATGTTTGGATTATCATATGTGGCATGAATGTAGATGCAAAAACTCTTAACAAAATATTGGCACATAGAGTTCAGCAATATTTAAAAATACTTACATACAATGATCAAGTGGATTTATTCCAAGAATACAAGGCTGGCTCAGTATTCAAAAATCAATCAATATGATCCATCACATTAACAGTCTAAAGAAGAAAAATTATATGGTCATATCCAGTGATGCAGAAAAAGCATTTGACAAAATTCATCACCTATTCTTGATAAAAACTCATAAAACTGGAAATAGAGGGAACTTCTTAATTTGATGAAGAAGATCTAAAATAAACCTTCAGCTAACATCGTACTTAGTGATGAAAGACTGAATGCTTTTCCCCTAAAATTGGGAATGAGACAAGGATTTATATGGTCATATCCAGTGATGCAGAAAAAGCATTTGACAAAATTCATCACCTATTCTTGATAAAAACTCATAAAACTGGAAATAGAGGGAACTTCTTAATTTGATGAAGAAGATCTAAAATAAACCTTCAGCTAACATCGTACTTAGTGATGAAAGACTGAATGCTTTTCCCCTAAAATTGGGAATGAGACAAGGATCCCCACTCTCACCACTGCTATTCAGCACAATACTAGCCAGGGTGATAGGCCAAGAAAAGGAATTAAAGGCACATAGGAATTAAAGGTAGAAATAAAACTATCCCTGTTTACAAGTGACACGATTGTCTACATAGGAAATCCTGATGGGAGAAGTCAGAGGGGTGAATAAATGGAGAGACATGACAGTGCTCACGGGCTGGAGGACTCCAC